GGCAACAAAACCAGCTGAATTCCTCTCTCTCTCAGCTGAACCAATCTCACAGGGTTGCTGTTCTGGGGAAACAGGTGGTAGCCTTATGCATACTCCTTGAGTTATCCAAAACTCTTAAGAGGAGGATGGTTTCAGAATGCACTGAATTACAAGTGAGTCAACTTCATGTGTTGTGCGACCCTGTATATGTTGTGTGATGGAGAGCCAGTTTAGAGTAGTAGCTAAGATGCTGGCCTAGAAAGCAGGGGACACCGTGCGTTCTTGTCCAGCCAGCTGGGTGACTTTGGGCCAGTCACTTCTCTCTGCCCAACCCACTTCGCTGAGTTGCTGTTGTGGGGGGGAAAAGAGGAGGAGGAAGGAATATTATGCATGTTCACTGCCTTGAGCTTGAATTTCTTATTTTTATTTATTTTATTTTATTTTATTTATTTTTATATGCCGCCCTTCTCTGGAGACTCAGGGTGGCTTACAATGCGTTAAGCAATAGCCTTCATACTTTTGTATATTTTATACAAAGTCAGCTTATTGCCCCCACAAACCGGGTCCTCATTTTACCCACCTTAGAAAGGATGGAAGGCTGAGTCGACCTTGAGCCTGGGGAGAAGTGAACTCGCAGTAATTGCAGGCAGTTGGATGTTAAATGCTGCCTTAGTGGGAGGCATTAGCCTCCTACGCCACTCAGGCTCCTGAGTGGCTCCTTTATAAGTGAGGAATAAAAATATAATAAGTGGATGGATGATAGAAGATGGATGGATGGATGAATGGATGGGTGGGTGGGTGGGTGGGTGGTTGTGTGGATGGATGGATGGATGGATGGATGGATGGATGGATGGATGGATGGATAGATAGATAGATAGATAGATAGATAGATAGATAGATAGATAGATTTGACAATGGAATGGATCCACCCTGAGCAGTGGCAGTCTACCCTAGTTACCGCATCGTGCAAGAGGGGAAGGATATTGCTTTTAAGCCTTGCTTATGCATTTCCTGGAAACTTCAGGCCAGCACCAAACAGACTGTAAAGCGAGATGTGTTTTTTCTTACCCCGGACTCTTTAATCTATGTAATACAGGTTTTGTTTGTTTCCTGAAGTTATATTCTCCCTTTCCTTCAGCAGCTCAAAATGACACTCCCCTCTCCCTATTGCTTTTCCTATTACCACAACCCTGTAAGGTAGGTTAAACCCAGCTCTGCCTTCTCCAATTCCTCCAGCATCCCATAATGTCAGCTGGCCAAGTTCTTTGATGTTGCTGTGGATTATGGTGATTGGAATCCACTTTTCTGGAGGGAGGGAGAGAACTTGTTTGGGGAAGACTGAGCTAAATCGCAGCAAAAAAAGTTCATTTCGGAGGAAAATTAGTAATTTGTTGCCTTGAGCTTCAAAAGGAATTATTTTGCTCTCTTCTCCTTTTCTTTGCAAGTTGGGTGTAAACAGTCGCTGGATTTCCGCTTTCTTAACAGAACTGAAGTGGGTGCTTACAGGATGCGGTGATGGGCAGTCTCTGAGTGGTTTCTGAGTAATCGGAGAGTCACAGCATCTGTCTTCTGCTGCCTTCTCCATACTTGCTCCCACACTGCATTCTGATTAGAGGCCTTTTGGAGAATTAGGGGAGTCTTCTCAAAACGTGGCTTTCTGGATGAGATTGGGTGAAGAGTTCATTGGGGTTTTTATACATATGGCCAATAGGTTCCCCCCCAAAACAGGATTGGTGGAATGTCCAACATTAAAAAGTAAAGGTAACAGTTTCCCTTGCATATATGTGCTAGTCGTTCCTGACTCTAGGGGGCGGTGCTCATCTCCGTTTCAAAGCCGAAGAGCCAGGGCTGTCCAAAGACGTCTCCGTGGTCATGTGGCCGGCATGACTAAACGCCAAAGGCGCATGGAACGCTGTTACCTTCCCACCAAAGGTGGTCCCTATTTTTCTACTTGCATTTTTTACGTGCTTTCGAACTGCTAGGTTGGCAGAAGTTGGGACAAATAACGGGAGCTCACCCCATTACGCGGCACTAGGGATTCGAACCGCTGAACTGCAGACCATTCGATCGACAAGCTCAGCATCTTAGCCACTGAGCCACCGCGTCCCTTTTTGTCCAACATTAGGAGCTGTCTTATCTGTGCATACCTGTTTGTGGAAAGGAGAAACTGGCCCCTTGTGGCTTTCTCACAGAGGTCTGTTTGCAGCTAACGGAGGCAGTCCAAAGGGAACTTGGATTGATTGGGGCTGAGTCTACATCCAGGGCTGAGAAGCAGATAAGGAAACTCCATGTTCAGAGGAAGTCTATCCGTACTAGGAATGGACTTTAGGCTTGGCTTTGCTCACATGTCCTGGCAAGCATCCCATGATGGATACCAGATATTGGACGAGAAGAACTTTGGATATGATTATCTTCAATCCAGACACATGCACACCCCAGGAAAATTATCAGATGGGGCAAGATTCTTATAAGGCCACTGAGTGGGAAGCAATTAAAGGAAACTTAAAAGAATTTTATTGTTGTTACCCTGTTTCCCCCAAAATAAGACATCCCCTGATAATAATTTTTTTAAATGTTATCTAATTCTGGGTTTTATTTAATTGACCAAACTAAGTAATAATTTTAATTAGCAATTTTATGATGTTTGTGTGTCTATCTTTTTCTTGACTGTACACCGCCTTGAGTCCTACAGGAGAAAGGCGGTATAGAAATATAATAAATAAATAAATAAATAAGCTCAATCGGGCTTTTGAGTGCATGAGCTAAAATAAGCCCCCCCCCCCCAAAAAATATTTAAACGCATGCACAACCAGTCCCCGCCATTTCCTCTGGTTAGAGTTAGGAAAACAGAGCTGGAAATCAGGTAAGACGGCAAGAGAAGCCTCATCTTGCTCCACGCGCCCCAAAATAATAAGACATCCCCGAAAATAAGGCCAAGCACTTATTTCGGGGTCCAAAAAGCATAAGAAAGGGTCTTATTTTCAGGGAAACACGGTAGTTGCAAAGTCGTGTCCGACCCATCGTGACCCCATGGACAACGTTCCTCCAGGCCTTCCTGTCCTCTACCATCCTCTGGAGTCCATTTAAGCTCACACCGACTGCTTCAGTGACTCCATCCAGCCACCTCATTCTCTGTCGTCCCCTTCTCCTTTTGCCCTCCATCTTTCCCAGCATTAGGCTCTTCTCCAGTGAGCCCTTCCTTCTCATTTGGTGGCCAAAGTATTCATCTTCAGGATCTGGACTTCTAAAGAGCAGTCAGGGTTGATCTCTTCTAGGACTGACCTGTTTGATCGCCTTGCAGTCCAAGGGACTCGCAGGAGTCTTCTCCAGCACCATCGTTCAAAGGCCTCAATTCTTTGGCGCTCAGCCTTCCTTATGGTCCAACTTTCCCAGCCATACATTGCAACTGGGAAAACCATAGCCTTGACTATACGCACTTTTGTTGGCAGGGTGATGTCTCTACTTTAAAGGAATTAAGTAGCTGATTTTAGAAGGGAGAGGAAGAGGAGGTGTCTTCTTGTTACTCTCCCCTCCTTTTTTTTTTCAATCAGGCTCCCCTCACAGCTATTACCCTCCAGAGTAACTTCTATTGTTTTTATTCTGTGGTATGTGCAGAGTGTTAGGAATGTGTGAAGCTTAAAAGCAATGAAGATTCTTCAAGTCAGAGAAGATTCTAAGAAATCAGAGCCTCTCCCTTTTTCTCTTTAAATGTGAGGCTGAGAACTCTTTCCTTCTTGCACAAGTCATTCATAGTACGGCTAGTTCTCCACTTACGACCAGTCACTTAGTGCCCATTCAAAGTTACAAAGGACTTCCCCAGAGCTACTTATGACCCAGTTCCAATGTTATGATGGCCACGCCCCTGCAGTCACATGACCAAGCATGTCAGGAACATAGCGGACCCATGTTTACGGTCATTTGCAGTATCCCGTGGTCACGTGACTATCTATCTATCTATCTATCTATCTATCTATCTATCTATCTATCTAAAGTGCTTTTCTATCGAGACACCTGGTCTACCCAGCGTGTGGGAGGGAGCATACTGCATCCCTTTCGCCTTTCAGCTCCAATCCAGGAGCCCTCAAGCAGTCACATTCACGACAAACCATTTTATACCAAATTTATATTTTGCTGATAAAGAAATAAAGGGAGACTAGTATAGATCTATTTCAAGCTATTTAGTTCTCATCAGCTAGCCATACCCTTACTTGGATTCAAACTTGGGCTGCCTGCATGTTAGGCAGTTGTATTAACCTCTGAGCCACAAGTTCTCCTCCCGTCATCAGCTTGAGCCAGGGGAGAGATTATTAAATAGCTTGAAGTAGATCTATACTAGTCTCCCTTTATTTCTTTATCAGTGAAATATAAATTTGATATATATATAAAGTGTTTTTCTATCGAAGCACCGGGTCTACCCCAATATGGGAGGGAGCATACTGCTTCCTTTTCGCCTTTCAACTCCAGTTCAGGAGCCCTCAAGCAGTCGCATTCACGACAAACCATTTTATACCAAATTTATATTTTGCTGATAAGGAAATAAAGGGAGACTAGTATAGATCTATTTCAAGCTATTTAGCTCTCATCAGCTAGCCATACCCTTTCTCAGATTTGAAACCAGTTTTTGACAAAAAACGCCCATATCAAACAATGGGTTTGCTTTTACGATCACAGTGTTTGTTTTAAAAGGTCGTAAAATCGGATCAGTCCCATGGCTGTCCCACTTTATGACTGTCACAAGTTACAACTCCATAAGCAGGCTCCATTAGGATCGTAAATTGAGAGCTACCTCTATTGCTGTTGTGTATGTGACTGTCTTTTTCTGAAAGTTGCATTTACGTGAAGGCAAGGCAAAAATTTTTGACCCAGGTGTGTGTCTAAAAACTGCCCAATTCTACCTTGGTTTTTTAAATGGACAGAATATAAAAGACGTGCCCGAAGAACCAAATTTTAGACCATCCTTTTTAGTTTTCTTTCCTTTCCCACTTCCCTCAAACTTCTTTCTATATATTTTTGTCTTGCAGATTACAAAGTTCACCAGCGGAATTCGAAAGGAGATTTAAAGGTGTCGGTTGTAGCAGTCACACCCCTGGAGAGCACGTGGTGGTGGATTTCTAGATCTCAGAAACTTTGGGGAACAGGAGATGGCCAATCCTTTGAAACAAGTTTTTAACAAGGATCGGACCTTCCGGCCTAAACGGAAATTTGAACCCGGGACACAGCGCTTTGAGCTTCACAAAAAGGCCCAGGCATCCCTTAATGCTGGGCTGGATTTAAAGCTGGCTGTGCAGCTCCCTCATGATGAGGAGCTGAACGATTGGGTAGCTGTTCATGTGGTGGACTTTTTCAACCGCATCAACCTCATTTATGGGACAATCAGTGATTATTGTTCAGAAAAATCCTGCCCGGTCATGTCCGGCGGCCCAAAGTACGAGTATCGGTGGCAGGATGAGAAATACCGCAAGCCCACTGCTCTTTCTGCGCCTAAATACATGAACCTTCTCATGGATTGGATTGAAGTGCAGATCAACAACGAGGATCTCTTCCCTACAAACGTTGGTGAGTTGGTGGGAAGGGAGTGAAAAAGCCAGGAAGAAAATTACAGAATTGAGCAGAAAATGAACATGAGCCTATATGGTGTGGCGTCACTGCAAAAATGGCTGACATAACTGTATACAGGTAGTCCTCGACTTATAACAGTTCATTTAGTAACCGTTTGAAGTTACAACGGCACTGAAAAAAGTGATTTATGACCGTTTCTTAACATTTACGACCATTGCAGCATTCCCATGTTCAAGTGGTCAAAATTCAGACAATAGGCAACTGACTCATATTTATGACGGTTGCAATATTCTGGGGTCATGTGATCACCTGTTGCAACCTTCTGACAAGCCAGGTCAATGGGGAAACCAGATTCAATTACCTAATTGCTAACTTAAAAACTGCAGTGATTCACTTAACAACTGGGGCAAGAAAGATCGTAAAATGAAGCAAAGTTCACTTAACAAATCTTTCACTTAACAACAAAAAATTTGGGCTCAGCTGAGGTACTAAGTCAAGGACTATCTGTACTTAATAGCAGGGTGGATAAAAATCAATGATTTTTTTAAAAAAATCAAAAAAATCGTGTTTTTTTTTATTTAAATCGGATTTTTTTGATTTAAATCAGATTTTTTATTTATTTTTATTGAATTTATTTTAATAAAAAACTTTTGGGGTAAAAATCTATCGTAAGATAGTTTTCTGTTTAAGATACATAAATAATTTAGTTTATTCAGCATGAAATGGAGCTTAGTTATGTAGCACAAGGTTGTATATTCTGCAACACTGGGACTATCGGTGAGTCAACAGCGGGTCAAAGGAATAGCAGAGATGACAGTTGCTGTTTAAAAATTATGATTTAAATCAAGTTGATTTAAATCAAGTCTTTTTACTAGTGATTTAAATCATGATTTAAAGCGACTCGATTTAAATCAAATCCACCCTGCTTAATAGTCACTTAATGGGGCTTTTTGGGGCCCATTTTTAGGCTTTTTTGGCCCGTTTTTTTCAGAAAAAAACGGGCCAAGAAAAGCCTCAAAAATGGCCCCAAAAAGCCCTGAACATGGGCCAAAAAAAGGCTTGAAAACGGGCCGAAAAACCCCCCGGAAACAGGCCGAAAAAAACCCTGGAAACAGGCCGAAAAAGGGGAAGCCAAAAACTTTTTGTTGTAGTTTGTTTTCCTCTTCTAAATTTAGGTGCGCCTTATAGTCCGAAAAATACGGTAGATTTTGGGGGGATGAGATTTATGCTTGGATGAAGTTGTAGATACCTAGGCTTTGTAATATGTTCAGAAAAGTCAAGATGGTCATAAGCAGGAATGATGTGATTGAAACTGCTTTTTAGGCATGTCACTGAGGACATGGCTGACAGCAGGCTGAAAAAATGCAATGGGTTGAGACTCTATATAAGAACCCTTTTTACACTGTTGAAAAGACGAAAATAAAACCAGGTGGATTGACTCCTAAATAAAGAGCTGCAGGGGCAGCTCTTAAGGAACTTAAGATTCCCAAAGACAAATATTGGCTGAACATAGAAGAAATTTCTGAACAATGAAAGCAGTTCATGAATGGAGCCACTAACATATAGAAAGGAATCTGCATTTTGAGTGCTGATTTCATTACGTGACTTTGTGCAATAGCTGTGGGGCCCACAATGTTGTTTTTTTTTAAATGGTTGCAGTCTTGAGAGGATTCCGTTTCATGAGATTTTGATTATTCCTGTGATTGGAGACTTTAGTTCAGGAGATAAAAGGGAAAAAATGCTCAGCGGTTGAGAGTTGGGCAGCAGACAGATTTAATACATTAAATTATTAAATTTCAAACCAGATCTCAGATAACTAGGTTTCAGGCAATATATAATCCATGATGTTCTTTGTCAAATTTTGTAAACTAGCAGCCTCCTCCATTCTCTTCTCTTAATTTCACACACGTCCCATCCTGCCTTTGCACTCTGTGATGGCTATTGATTGAAATCCATTTAACTTTGCTTCATCTTCTCTACAGCTGCCTTCAAGTTCAGCTCTGGCTTGCTTAATTCTAATCTGTTGACTAAGCCACAATTGGCTGAACTCTCAGAATAGTGTTCCAACCGCAGTTTATATCTTGGTAAAATCTTAAATTATAGCTGCCTATTTTGGCTACAGCGTATATAACCCACGTCTCCTTGTGGTAGCTCTTCCTTATTTTATTTCCTCTTCCTGGGTGCTGGAAAGAGACACTCCAATTTTGGGAATATGCAACTTGCATAGTTAATACTGCTCTGGTCCCCTAAATTGTCTGCCATCTTTCCTGCCCTGGATATGATAAATTGATTAAATAAATCAAGGGAGAGAGGGAGCGAAGGAAGGAGATGGGAGGGGAAAAGGTAGGTAGGAGATGGGAGGAACAAGAAGAGATGGGAGGGAGGGAGGAGATGGGAAGGAAGAGAGGAAGGGAGATGGGAGGGAGGGAGGAGATGGGAAGAAAAAAAGGGAGGGAAGAAGAAAGGAAGGTTAATTGTCGTGGTCTTCCACAGGTACTCCATTTCCTAAGAACTTCCTCCAGGTTGTGAAAAAGATCCTCTCCCGTCTCTTCCGCGTCTTTGTCCATGTCTACATCCACCACTTTGATCGTATCGCCCAAATGGGCTCGGAAGCCCACGTGAATACATGCTACAAGCACTTCTACTATTTTGTAAAAGAGTTCAATCTCATAGACAACAAGGAATTGGAGCCTCTGGTGAGTACAGGGTCATGCTGACCTCCCACTTGGGGAGCCTTGGTTCAGGTACCTGAGATGAGAGGGATGGAGGGCTCTCCATCCTGAGCTCCCCAGGTATTGCGCAGTTTCTGCAGTTTGTTCTTCAAGTTTCACCCTAGAACAGGGGTCTGCAACCTTAAACACTCAAAGAGTCATTTGGACCCATTTCCCACAGAAAAGAAAACATCGGGAGTCACAAAACTTGGGTGGGCATGGCCAACTCGACGTCAGTCACTTCCACCAGTCACATGACCCGACCCACCCCTTAGCTATGCCTACCCAGCCGGTCATTAGGGCAGAGAACCGGTTGTTAAAAATCATCTGGAAACACAAAACCCTTTTGACATTTCTCTCTTCCTCCCTCTCTCCCCCCCCCTCTCTCTGTATCTCTGTCTCTGCCCTGGCCACTTCTCCATCCTCTGCCATCGCCCTTACTGTCAGGTTTCAATGTCGTCTCAAAGAAATTGCATTTCCAAACAAATAGTCTTTGATGAAATCTTTCATTTATTAAGCACGACAATCTGTCCCCGATTAAGTCATAGCCAACACTGACTTCCTGACCCCAAACCTTCCCTTTCCATTCCCCAATTCTCTGCGTCTCATTGGCCATCTTCCAAATCACTCTCCCCATATCTACTACTTCAGCTCCCAGGAATGTCCCCCCTCCCAACCCATCTCCTAGGGGATATTATCTTCAGGGAAAATAAGTAGGTGAAATGTCAAGCATCCTCTTGCCAGCTGCCTCCTCTTCTCCTCTTTATGTCAGCACTGGAACGAATGTAGTTTGAAATGCTGACACTTACCTTCTCAGGCCAGGCAAGGGGGGGTGGGGAGGGGAGGGTGAGGGGCGAGGACAGCTAGCGGTGGGCTCACCCGACAGGGAACCACAGCAGAGGGCCCAAAGAGCTGCATGTGGCTCCGGAGCCGCAGGTTGCTGACACCTGCCCTAGAATAGTGGGATTTGGCAATCTGTGCATTTTTATTTAATGAAGAGCCACAGAATTCATTAGGGTGTGTTGTTGTTAAAGCTTGTATTTAATTTATTTAATTGCCCATTCCTGAATGGCTTACAATAAAACAATAAAAATACATCTTAAATAACCATTAAAAACAAGGAAGAATATAAATAAATAAGACCATAGAACAGAGGGTTTTTTTTAATGAATATAAAAAGAATATATAGTACTATTGCCTTTCATTACTCTGATGCATAAAATGCATGTCATCAACTTGAGGTTTTATTTACCTATTATGGCAATTAGATATTTAACCAAGTTGTATAAACATTAACATCTCTGCAGAAGAAAAGAGAAACAAGGAAGGAAAGGGAGGCACGCCCAGGTGCTTTCCATCTAGCTGGACAATCCTTCCAACAGCTTTATGGTAGACAAGGTGGAATAAATGACATCCGACTATTGAGATTTATTCATTTTATTTATTTAGAAAGTGAACTTGGCTATCTATTTTAGGTAGGTAGTTCTAGACAACTAACAGCTGTCGGCAAGAAAACAATAAAATCTCTATGGACACAACCAAAAACAGAATGAAAATAGTCATGTAATAATGGAAACACTATATAACCCAGTGTTTCTCAACCGTAGCAACATAAAGATGTCTGGACTTCAATTCCCAGAATTCCCCAGCCAGTACGCTGACTGAGGGATTCTGGGAGTTGAAGTCCACATTTCTGAGACTATTCCATAGGTGAATGCCACAAGAGAGAAGGCACATCGTCTGGGTTTTCAGAAGACAATGTTGTTTAACAGAATGGATCTGGAGTGCGCCACAAGTACTACCTTGCAGGGCTGTAAAGGTGATAACCAGCAGCTTGATTTGCACCCAGAACTACCCTGACAATGTGATTGCTAAGAGATGGGGGGGGGAAATTGATGGAAAAACTGGAAGAGATGCCCATTTAACCCCTGGTGCTTGGTGGTAGTGTGGTATTCTGAACTCTGAACCCAGCACTGTTTAGGTAGAATGTTTTCTTTGGAATAGAAAGGAATTTAAATGGCGTACATTTCCATTCTCGGCAGTAGTCCTACCCAGCTGTTCCCTATATTGAAACCAGCCTCCATAAAGGCAAACAAACTGTTTTTGAAAAGAAAATACAGGCAGTCCTTGACTTATGATCACAATAGAGCCCAAAATTTCCATTGTTAAGCAAGGCAATTGTTAAGTGAGTTTTGCCTCATTTTACAATGTTTTTTGGCCACCGTTGTTAAGCGAATCGCTACAGTTGTAAAATCATGCAAGTTGTTAAGTGAACCTGACTTCCTCCATTGACTTTGTCGGAGGCCAATTGGGAAGGTGACAAATGATGATCTATATATCCAGGACAGCGGAACTGTCATAAATTCATCGAAGGTACCAAAGCACCCAAATTTTGATCATGTGACCATGGGGATGCTGCAACAGTCATAAGTGTGAAAAACGGTTGTAAGTCATTTTTTTTCTGGTGCTGCTGCTGCAACTTTGAATGGTCACTAAAAGGACAGTTGTAAGTCGAGGCCTACCTTTATTTTACTCTGAATGTAATTCCCACTCAGCTTTACGTACATGATTTTGTTTACTTTTCTTGCAATTTTTTTAAAAATGGCATTAATTTTGAGATCTTGTTGCATGGATAATATACTAGCCCTGATGATATTACCTGGATTAAGTAATGGAACGTCTGCAAGAAAGCAACCAAACTCAAAAAGCACCTCATACTTCCTTGAATTACAAGCAGTCCTCAAGTTACAACCATAATGAAGCCTGCCTATCACGGTCATAACTTTGATGCTTGTAAATCAGGTTATCCATGGGTCCAACCTGGTTTAATGACCATTTTTTGTGTGTGTGGCGGTCATTAATCAAACCGGTGGTTTGCTATGGGCTGGTTTTGCTGAAAACAGAAGTAAATGTAGCTTTTTGGCCACACTGTTGTAAAGTGTGATCATGTGACTGCAGGACTCTGCCAATGGCGGAGTCACATGACCTGGGAGGGGAAGCGGCCATTGAAATGTCAAAATGGGGTCGTAAGTGCCCCCAGGAAGGGCCATCAGAACTTTGAATGGTCATTAAGTGACCAGTCATAATTCATGGACTACTTTAGTTCAATACACAGGTAGTTCTCCGACTTACAATGGTTCATTTAGTGACCACTCGAAGTCATAACAGCATTAAAAAAGTGATTTGTGACCGTTTTCACTTATGACCGTTGCAGCATCCTCATGGTCACATGATCAAAATTCAGACACTTGGCAACTGACTCCTATTTATGACAATTGCAGTGACCCGAGGTCACATAATCCCCTTTTGCGACCTGACAAGCCAAGTTAGTGGAGAAGCCAGATTCACTTAACAACCATATTATTATTAACAACTGCAGGTAAAATGGGGCAAAACTCACTTTTAAGAACTGTCTCCCTTAGCAGCAGAAACTTTGGGCTCAGTGGTAGTCATAAGTCAAGGACTACCTGTATTAACCTATTTTTTTTTTAGAAAATGTGATTTCTAAGTGACGTTTAAGTGTCCTCTCTTTGACAGAAGGACATGACTTCGCGGATGTGCCACTGACATCTTGGGAATTTGTCTGCCGTCTTTCAAGCCAATGCCGTCCAGATTGGAGACATTCCTGCCCAACAGACGAGATCTTATGATCTGGAGGGACTTCCATTTTTATACATCTTTTTATTTTTATTTTTTTTAAAAAATGAGCTTTCAGGAGCTCTTGTAATGAATTCTTTTGTAAAATCACTCTGATTGTCGGGATGATGTTTGTTTAAGAAAGGAAAGGACCACCATTAAGTGTTAAGGCTTCCTTTAAGTCTCCATGTCTTTCTTCTCGCATCACATGGATGGGGGGGTGGGGGTGGGAGGCTGATTTGGAAATGTTATTTTGAGGTTTCCCACCAAAATCACCTGGGCTTCAGAAAGACAACACCTATTGCATCAAGGGAGCCAATTTAAATGAGTAAACCACTGACACACCTGTAAGTAGTTTAGGAGTCTGCTTAGGCCATTACGTGGAATCACCTGTGTTGCAAAAAATAATAATAATAAAATTTTAGCACTTCTTTCACTTGAAATCTCCTGTTGGCATATGTGTATGCAGCGGCTCTGTTTCCTGTCCTCCCAAGAAGAGGAAGGAAATTATCTTGTGGCAATGTAACTTTTCTCTTTTGGGTCACACACAGTCCCAAGTGATGCTTGGGAACTTGGAATTTATGGATGGCGACTGCCTCCCCTGGTTTATAGGTAGTCCTCGCCTTACGATCACAATTGGGGCCAGAAGTTCCATTGTTAAGCAAGTGCAGTTGTTAAGTGAGTCCATATCCGATTTTACAGGTCATTAAGAGAATTAAGGGACACGGTGGCTCAGTGGCTAAGTCACTGAGCTTGTCGATCAGAAAGATTGGCAGTTTGGCGGTTCGAATCCCTAATGCCGCATAATGGAGTGAGCTCCCGTTACTTGTCCCAGCTTCTGCCAGTCTAGCAGTTCAAAAGCACAAAAAAAATGCAAGTAGAAAAATAGGGACCACCTTTGGTGGGAAGGTAACAGCGCTCCGTGCGCCTTTGGTGTTTAGTCATGCCGGCCACATGACCACGGAGACGTCTTCAGACAGTGCTGGCTCTTCGGCTTTGAAACGGAGATGAGCACTGCCCCCTAGAGTCGGGAACGACTAGCACATATGTGCAAGGGGAACTGTTACCGTTACCTTAAGTGAATTCTGCTTCCTCCATTGATTTTGTTCATCAAAAAGCTCCTGGGAAGCTTGTAAGTGATGTCTATGGACGTTCTCAGTAATCCAAGTCGTAATTGTTTCTTTCATGCTGCAACTCTTTTAAGTAGGTACCACTTGCCAAATGCTAAAATTTTGATCACATGACCATGAAGACATTGCATTGGTCATAAATGTGAGAACATTTTTTTCCCAGCAGCGCTGCAACTTCAAACGGTTGCTAAACAAATGGTTGTAAATTGAGGACTATATATGGGAGTTTTCCAATTTTCTACCTACCCCTCCTTTTTTTTTTTTTTTTTTTTTTTTTTCTTTTTTTAAAAATAAAAAAAAAAAAATTTTGGAAATGATGTGTAATTACTTCAGTGCAAAACCTTAAAAACACTACTTTTTTTTTGCAATTTTTAAAAAAATTTTTTAAACAAATAAAACATAAAACATCCTTCATCCATTACAATTTCAAGCAGTGTGTTGGTCAGTTACAAATCCCTTGTGCTTCTTCCCCATAATCATATTTTACTAATTATCTAATTTCTCATATTATCAACCTGATATATATCTTTACATCATTATTCTCATTTGTCATTCATTTAACCATGGCATTATCATTCCAAAGAAAATCATTTTCACATATTATATTCTAACATTCATTTTATATTTCATATTTCATTTCCATGTTTTATTATCTAGCCATTGGTAAAATAAATCCCATAAAAACTCTACTTTTGTATAGTGGACTCCACCCAACATCTGCTTCAAAGGTCTTCAGTCAAAGAGTCCCTTGCCCTCCCAAGGCATCTCCGTGCCCACCGGAAGTTCAGATTGCTCTTAGTGCTTCCTCAAAATCTACTTCCTTGCCAGTCCCCCATCCACACCCCAGCTCTGATTGTGGGTGTCTGCAAGGAGGCGAGGAGCAACATGGGTCATTATTGTCATCATAGAAATGGCATGACTTAACTTGCTATCATCTCACTACATAATTTGCACAATGAGGTCATGATGACATACCACGTTGAAGCGGTCATTGGTTGTTACAGACTCTGCCGATTTGATTCCATTTGCCTGTGCTTGTCTTCGCAGTATAGTTTGATGTACGGTTGTAAGCCAAGGACTACATGTGTTTATAAATTGCAGCTACCTGGATTTTATCTAAACTTCCTAGTGATAAGATTCATAACGACAGTGAACCTATGAAAATTGTGGATCCTTTATTTCCTGAGGATTGTTTAACTGTTGTTCTCCAGACTTCAGGAGGAAGGATTCGATGAACCTGCTGCTGCTTTCCAATTCTCATTTCTGTGAACCTTTCAGATTCATTCCTGAATTAAGATGTTAGACAGCTGTTTTTTTTTAAGCAACCCATAGCTATGTGAGATGGGAACTCAGATCTACAGGGAGTCCTCGATTTAATGACCACAATGGAGCCCAAAATTCCTGTTGCCAAGCGAGATAGTTTTTAAGTGAGTTTTGCCTCATTTTACGACCTTTCTTGCCACAGTTGTTAATTGAATCACTGCAGTTGCTAATTTAGTAATAGGGTTGTTCCTGGCTTCCATATTTGTGTGTCGGTGATCACATGACCTTGAGACACTGCAACCGTCATAAATATGAGCCAGTTGCTAAGCGTCTGAATTTTGATCACGTGGCCATGGGATGCTGCAATAGTTGTAAGTGTGAAAAATCACGTTTTTCAGTGCCTTTGCAACTTCGAACGGTCACTAAATGAAAGGTGGTAAATTGAGGATTATATCTGTGATATAATATAATAGTGAATAGTTCGACAGTGTTGAGGGAATTATTTGTTTAGCAGAGTGATGGCGTTTGGGGAAAAACTATTCTTGTGTCTAGTTGTTTTGGTGTGCAGTACTCTATAGTGTCATTTTGAGGGTAGGAGTTGAAACAATTTATGTCCAGGATGCGAGGGGTCTGTAGATATTTTCACAGCCCTCTTTTTGACTCGTGCAGTATACAGGTCCTCAATGGAAGGCAGGTTGGTAGCCATTGTTTTTTCTGCAGTTCTAATTATCTTCTGAAGTCTCTGTCTTGTTGGGTTTCAGAACCAAACCAGACAGTTATAGAGGTGCAGATGACAGACTCAGTAATTCCTCTGTGGAACTGTATCAGCAGCTCCGTGGGCATTAGGAGAACCCCAAGGAATGGGACTTCCTTGGGTCTTTCCCGTGGAAAATCCCCCTCTCCACTCACTTCTCGGATTGAGGGACATTCCAACCAGGAGCGTCCAATTTCCCAGCAACGCTTCTGGGCCACTTCTGTGTGCCAGCAACGCTTCGTTCTGGAAAGGGAGCAGCTGTAGCAATACCAGGAAGAGCTTCTAGAAGGAAGTCCTTTGTAATTAACTGAATCAGCAGCTGGAAGCATTTTAGAAACTTGTTTTTCTATTCTAGCTTAACAGAAGGATTAGGCAAGACATGATAACTGTCTTCCAGTACTTGAGGGGCTGTCACCAAGAAGAGGGGGTTGACTTACTCTTTAAGGCAGCAGAAGGCAGGACAAGAAGCAATGGGTGGAATCTTGTTAAGAAATAAGGAGAAACTTTCTGATGGTGAACACTTAATCAGTGGAATAGCTTGCCTCCAGGAGTTGTGGATGCTCCATCGAAAATAGATTGGACAACCATTTGACCGGGATGGTATAAGATCTTGAGCAGGGGGTTGGACTAGAACAGGGGTCTGTAACCTTAAACACTCAAAGAGCCATTTGGACCCATTTCCCACAGAAAAGAAAACACCGGGAGCCACAAAAACTTTCCCGTGCCTGACTATTTCTTGAGCGGCCACAAAACTAGCATATGTAGTTGAATTAAACCTTCTGTTTTCTTCTGAAACTTTTCTTTTCTTGGATTTATCCATGGTTGGCCTACCGCAGGTTGAAAAGCTCAATAAATTGTGTGCCGGCGAGTGTCACACATTGGTGGTTGTGACGCATATTTTGAGTGACAGGGAGCCGCAGCAGAGAGGTGAAAGAGCCACATGCGGCTCCAGAGCCACAGGTTGCTGACCCCTGGACTAGAAGATCTTGAGGTCGCTTCCAGCCCTATGATTCTAGGTTCTATCTGATGTGACGGGATGCCTTTTCTGTTTTAGCACCTGCCCTTTGGGATGATTTTGTTGCAAAACCCTGAATTATGACTGGCCTCAACCCTGTTGATTTTCAGAAAGGCAGTAAAAACATGCGTTTTTCCTTGGGTTTTGGAGCTGGGACTCCAATTGGAGCTGTAGTCAGGAATTGTTTCCCTCTGAGTATTATTCTCAATTAGATATCTTGTTCCTTTCATCTACGGATTTATAATAATATTGCCTCACTTTTTGAGTTCATCTTTCAAAGTGGCTTGCGTTAATTTTATACGTACATTAATAAATATTTTATAAGAAGTTCAATAAACACTTTTTACAGAGAGCTAGTTTGGTGTAGTGGACTAAGGCGCGGCCTAGAAACCAGGAGGCTGTGAGTTCTATTCCCGCATTAGGCATGAAAGCCAGCTGGGTGACTTTGGGCCAATCACCAAGAGAGTTGGTGAGTTCTATTCCCGCCTTAGGCCCTAAAGCTGGCTGGATGACTTTTAAGTCAATCATTCTCTTTCAGCCCAACCCATCTCAGAAGAGTTGTTGTGGGGAAAATAGGAGGAGGAAGTATTCCGTATGTTCACCTCTTTGAGTTGCTTATAAAATGATAACGGCAGGATAAAAATCTAATAAACAAGGGTTACTTTGGGATAGGGGTTTAAGGCAGCAGATTGGAAACCAAAAGACCATAGATTTTAGTCCTGCCTTAAGTATGAAGCCAGCTGGGCAACCATGAGCCAGTCCCCCTCTCTCAAGCCAAGGAAGCAGTTAAGGGCGAACCACTTCCGAAAACCTTGCCAAGAAAACTGGAGGAACTTATGATGCCTTAAAGAATAAGTCAATCCCCCCTTCTTTCTGACAGCCCCTCAAGTACTGGAAGACAGTTATCACGTCCTGCCTAATCCTTCTGTTAAGCTAGATCAGGGGTCTGCAACCTTAAGCACTCAAAGAGCCATTTGGACCCGTTTTCCCACAGAAAAGAAAACACGGGGAGCCACAAAACCTGGGTGGGCGTGGCCAACTCGATGTCACTCACTACCACCAGTCACATGACTCCCTAGACACGCTTACCCAGCCGATTATTAGGGCAGAGAACCAGTTGTTAAAAAACACCAGGAACCACAAAACCCTTTTGACATATCTCTCTCTCCCCTCCCTCCCTCTCTCTCCCCCCTCTCTGTATCTCTCTGTCTCTGCCCTGGCTGCTTCTCCATCCCCCGACGTCACTCTTACCTTCTCAGGCCAGGCGAGGAGTG